CCGGAACGATGAATAATTAGGACGAGGACACCCGATGACGAGTGTCCCCGATTGACCCCGATTATTACCGATAATCGGGGAAGAATGACCACGAGTATGGGGAAGCCATTACTCGTTATACAGCTGCCCCTGTGGAAAGAATACGTTATTGCGAAGAGTTTAATTATTACGGAGAGTTCTTGGAGAGAGTCGTGAAGAGTTTTTGGGAGAGAAATTTTGAGGATAAGTTGTGGACCAGTGCGGAAGGAGATTTTTGAGAGAGAATTGTGGAATAATTAGTGGACACGTGGCCCGTGGAGGATTAGGAGAGACCCAGGAGTGACGAAAGGAGGAACGGCCATCGTGCGTATCAATCGTTTGGAGGAGTTATTTAAAATATTTCATGGTCAATTCAAGATGAAAGGACGCCGATAATCTTTTTGATTGTGAGAAATTTGTTGATTTTAATTTCCCATCAAGAGCGGGAGATATAGAAATGCCAAGTTTGAAAATGCATGTCAAGTCAGGTCTATTAACAACATGGTAATATTCAATAATTGTCTTTCAAACCATATTTCAATTATAATTTCAAAATTACTTCAAAAAATCTATGAAAGGTACTAAATCTTTTTCTATAAAGACCATTAAAAACAACCAATAACCAATCAAAAGCATAACAACAAAAAAAAACAATTGAAAAAATATTTCCATTAGAGAAATAGAAAATTTTTCTATTTTACTTTCCCCACCATCAAGTTTTTGCCGAATATCTCCAATACTCTTGCCTACGCGCAGGGCAGCATGGGCCCGAAGGGGATGTTGACATAAACTTTATGGCTTGGGACAATTTCGCCTAATGGGGTCGGGAGCTGGAGTAGCTCCGAGAGCTCAGGTTGCCCACCTCTGGGGTATGGAATGAGCTAAGGCGAGTAATCTTGGGAGCAGGAAATGAGATGTTTAAGGGTGCGAGAAAGAGAGAGGCCAGGGATGACGCTTGGGTGGACAAAGGGTTGCCGATACCGAAGAAACACATTGTTGTTGCCGTCAAGAAAATTCACAAGGGCAAAACGAACCTTCAGCTCACGGCCCGGATCTTTAGGGCACTGAAAAGCACTTAAAATTTTCACCATAAGAGGGCTGCACAGTATAAAATCACATCGTACTACGGTCCCATTATTCCTACGTTTTCAATGGCATTAACCGACTCTAACTGGGCATAGACTTATGACATATTGTTGTATCTATTAAGGATAACATAACATTATCTTATCTACTTTAAAAAATATTGCCAAGCAAAAATCATCGGAAAGAATGGGTATTCATATTACCTGAACTTTTTAATAAATTAACGTTCATTCAAGATTTCGAATGCCGTTGGTAACCATCATATTTCGCCGTCTATTTTCGATTCTGATCCTTCTCTATTCATCACAGGCTTCCTCGTCGAGCATGATGGCGGCAGCTCCTACTATCTCACTATCCCTGGAATATTCATAACACTTCTATACACAAAAAATAAATTTTTCTACCCAAATTAAGAAATAAAATACTGAAATCAGCAGTCTTTACCTTTAATATCAGTATTATACTACACAATTTTAAAGAGGGAATTGTCCAAATATTTTTTGGCATCGGCAGCCCTCTCCTGGTACTTTTTTAAAGTACCGAATAGGCCGACGAGGTGCCCTAAAGGAGGAAAATAACCTGCCAAAACAAAAAAAAGAGAAAACCGCTACCTTTCATATAAACGAGTAAACGAATAAACGAGTATAGCACCGTGAAAGCATGGGGCTAATGGGAGGTGTGGAGTGCGCTGTAATCGACTTATTTTTTTCAACTTTTTTTTCAACACCACTTATCCAAGTATTCTATTAAATAAAAAGCATGGACTGGAAAGTGTTATGGCGGAGAGCATGTAAAATTGGCGATTCTCATTGGCTGAAAAAAGTGTCATGGCATTATGTGAAATTGATCATTCTGATTGGCTGAATAAAAAGTGTGGCGTTATTTGGGGGAATTTTCACCCCCGGGTACTTACCCGACAAAAGTCAGTAATTCGAAAAACGCACTTATGTACTCGATTGTACATCGTTAGTACATGATTGTACCTATAAATTTCTTGTTTGTACATCAACTGATTAATTAAAAAAAATTAATTAAATTTCGGCATGATCTTAGCCGACAACAAATTAAAAATTGATCAATAAAACCAAATTAGGGGTGTTTTCCGAAGGAAATCGTGTGTACATTACGAATTTCTTGTTTTCGTCGTTTGTACATTGATTGTTAATGAGTTAAATCCATTTGAAAAATCATGGTCTAAGTTGCGCGTTCCTATACTATTGTGGCTACTCCGTCTGTCACCAGGAACTCGGACAGTACCGACGGAGCCACATCAACTAGATTACCTGCTGCTCGAACACCTGTTTTACCTAGTCGGCGGAAGCAAAGATTATTCCCTCGTAACGCTCTCGAATAGCTACAGCTGTAGCCGACAAGTTTCTGACTTATAATTTATAATTTTAGTTTATTTGAAACCATTGTACATTTCTTTAGTTAGTACAATAAACGTCATAACCTTTTTATTCCTGGAGTAACATTTTTAGTGGATGCATACTAAAGCACCACATTGGTGACCCCGACGTGATCTAATTGGAGCACAGTCAAAGCGTTGCACGACTTCCATTTTTGTTGTACACCAACAAGTGGCTTCCAACAGCTTTTTGGCAAGTACGTTTAACTGACCATCATGCCGCTTGAACATTCCCCGTCACGTATTGACGAAAATCGTCAATGGGAACAACAAGAGGAACGAATCCAGGAACTCGAGCGTGAACTCCAAAATTTACGGGCTCAGGCAACGTCGAATACTCAAAATCCAGGATCACACTTCCAGCTCGATTTACAAACGACTCCGACACAGGAAAACATTGACCTTGGAGCAGCAGTAGCAGCAGTAGGTTCAATCAGATTACCACCATTTTGGAAGACCTCTCCTGAGTTGTGGTTTTTTCAAATCGAGGCACAATTTTCTACGCAAAGGATTACGAGGGACAGCACAAAATATTACCATGTAATCTCTGCATTGGACTCCGATTGTCTAAAACAAATATCCGACATCATGAGGAATTCCCCGGAGCAAGATAAGTATTTACAACTTAAGGAAAAACTCATCTCCAGGTTTACAGATTCCGTAGAAAAACAATTACACAAACTGTTAACAGGGCTCGAGCTTGGCCCAAAAAAGCCTAGTGAGCTCCTACGTGAAATGCGGACACTTGCTGCTGGTTGTGTCACAGACGAGATGATGCGTACTCTCTGGAAAAATCATTTGCCCATCACTCTACGCAGTATTATATCTGCCACAACCGACTTGGACCTAGAGAAGCTGGCAGACCTGGCTGATAGTATCCATGAGATTTCGTCAGCACCAACGGTGATGGCCACACACACAACTTCGAAGCCAGTGAGTCCTGCGGAACGCACTCTAGAAGACAAGGTCCAAAGGTTAAGTGATAAATTGGAAGTTTTCCTACGCGGCTTTAGTGATCTATCATCAAAAGTCAACCAACTAAGCAATACACGTGGTAGACATCGCTCCAGATCTTCACCTAGGCATTTAAGTGTATCACCAGCAGCAAATTCCAACACTCGAGCATGCTATTACCATAGCAGGTATGGCGACAAGGCCAAACGTTGTGTCCCACCCTGTACAGCAGCCTCGCTTCCCCAGACGGGAAACTAGTGACGCTGTCGTCAAGCAACACGGTTGGCGACAGCAACCAACCCACCATCATGGCAGAGAAGAGACTCCATTTAATGGACAAAACCTCACAACAGAAATTCCTCATCGATTCTGGTTCTATAATATCGATACTACCAGTTCACTATTTCCCTAGTGCTCCTAAACGTGATGTTTTTAAACTCTATGCCGCTAATGCATCAATAATACATACGTATGGCACCAAAACTTTAACACTGGATTTCCGAATTTTCCGGAATTTGTCGACCATCAAGTAGTCCCTGGTC